CGCAACAGATATAGAAATACAAGAATAGGACAAGCTGCTTCTTAATTGTAATGTTTCCTTTAAAAAGGCAAATTTAATATTTCCCTTATATTATCGTTTCACAAACGCTGTGACCGGACCATTATGTGGTTTAATACTTTTTCAGGTGACCTATGTACGACTTCCGTCGTGAATACCAGCTACTCTACAAAGTGTAGTGTAGTTGCCCACAATGTATCACAAACGCTATGGCCAGACCACTGCATGATAAATACAACAGATGCTAACTTTGTCTCCACATTGTTGACCACTGACAAAACTGTTATTCAAAGGAAGGGATTTAATAGGAAGGTATATTATTCAGTTCATGTAGACACACACAGGGTTACCTTACGTTCAATTCTGTAAACCAAAAGACAAGATGTGAGCAGAATGTATCAAAAATGAAGTCAAAGTGATACCATAATTTTAGCGACGTAGTACTGATTGATACTAAAGCCACTTCTCAATGGCAGTTATGGCACTGTTCGATTTTCCGTCAGGACGCAAGACTCATATTCTTTCCAAAAATACGAACTTTGAACTTTGGGAACCCCACCCTGTCCTGATGTATATATTTGAATTGACATGTTTCTGGTCGATAATCATGCCATTTCTTAGACCAACCAAGGGCTTATTTAATACCCGGGGCTTAGTTGTGTACCTAACGAAACGAGAAACGACACGACATCCGGGGCTTTGTTTGGTCTTCATTAAACAATAGTATCATGTTTATTGTTGATTGGCTAATTCTAATCGGATGCGGTAAAAAACCGAACGGTAAAAACCGAACCAATTTGCGAACGTTCCTGGTATTACGTTCGCCCTTGGGCCAACCATAGCTCATATGTATTTTCTCTGTTTAGATAGACTCTTACTCTGCATTTTATGACAATGGTGGCTTCTCGCAGACAGAACTACACTCTCGTCTCCAGGGATTTAAGATAGACACCCTATTCTTAACCGGTCTTGCTACTGATGTTTGCGTGTATTGGTCTGCCAAAGACGCTAAGAAATTAGGTAAGTTCAAGTTCAATTTCATTGAAGTAGCTATAGTCGAACAAACTACAAATTTTAAATTTTTGCATCATCCTTTTCTCATTACCCAGACTGATATTTTCATTCTTCCCCCCTTTATTTTATTTGATACAATGGTCCTTCTTCCATATTGCTTTGAAATCTCGTTAAAGTCTCGTTTTTAATGAAATTTTAAGTGATCTGCATTTTTAACCATTAAAGACTAACATTTTCTTGAATTCATTTATTTGAATTATGTGACTGTGTAATTTTCTATCAAAACAACTTTGATTTGCACCTGGTCCATTATTTACCTTTATTCGTCTAAAAAAAGGTCGGGCTAAATCTCCATTGACATAATGCTGAAAAACCTTTAAAAGTTCATTTACTCCTACAAGGATCACAATTTTATTTTGAAATCACAATCTACATGTCAATAAGATCATATAGTTACATTCCAATGGTGTTTTAAGTTGATCCAAAATTCCAAATGGAATAACTCCCTAAATCAAGAAATTAAGTGACTCTGGTAATACATTTACATGTATTCTAGCCCTACCCTAGCCCTACCAATACCCATGATGCCATCTATTTTCCATGAAAAAAGCTCAATTACACGATAATACATGTTTTATTATCAATGAATCGAAAGGTTTTCATGGTATAACGGAACAAGTATTTCGTATGAAATACCCATTGTTATCTTTTCATTCTTACAATACGTCAATAATTTATTCCTCCAATAATTTATTCCATGATTCAAGTAAAATACAGAAAACACTATTCAGTATATCTTATAACTTCATTCATATTACAGGATATAATGTGTATGTCGTTTTGGATGCATCGAGGGGCCTCACAGAACAGGGATCAGCTAATGCTGTCGCTGATATGAAAAGTAAAGGTACATTATGAAAAATGTTTCCATAATTAATGCTTTATAAATTTAAGAAATATAGACCAAATGATCAGGTGTTACATCGACGAATAAATCCCTTATAGGGCTAGGCACAAACGTTCTCTGTATCGAGATCAACCGAAGGGGGTCTATATTACGAATCGAACATGAAAGCTCCCCAAAACTGATATTTCGAATATTCATTATGGTCCGCCATTACTATAGCCCGACGTTATGACGTCACACATTACTCGTAATACCTGGGGCATTGTTGACGAATATACCCCGGGAAAAATATTCACTTTGTTCTCAGTTTACAGAAGACGTGAATACAGTCATGTTCGAATTCTAGTCACACTTGATATTGATTTTCATAGATTTTATAAGTTGTACAAAATGAATAAGGATTTGGTTTTTCGTATTTTATTCTTTTTTTATTTTCACTCATATGTTATGCTTTCTTTTTTATTCTCTATGATTATGTTTTTGAGTTATTGTTTTATTAGACTCCAAATTGAATAGCTAAGAGTCTATTGCTTTTGCCAGTTTTCTTCTTCTTTTTTCTCCCAGTTTTTTCTCGCCAACTGGAATACCTTACTTTAATCTGCTTGCATGGTTAACTAAGAATGTGTCTGAGATTACGGAAAATTTGGAATTTTTTATCAAGGCCAAATGTCAAAAACTACGTCAAATCTTACATTTTTAACATTTTGTTGATTATCCGTGTGGTTATTTAACAACTCCTTGATCTGTCCACATCATGTCGCGTAAATAAATAAATCCATCCTCATGTTAAGTCAATGGCGCCGAAGAAAAAGTATAAATTGTATAGATTGGATTCTATAGCCTACAAGAGGGCCTCTAAAGTTTACTAATTCAAAAAATGAATAGTGTTATCCTTTTGCCGTCAAAAGGTATTTTGACACGATTTTAAGATATCCGTGTTCAAAAAGTGGGTCAAATGATAGAAAAATGTTTTCTCGATTCCAAATCTGCAATTAGATTTCAGTTGTCGTTAAAATTCGTTGTCGTTTTGATGTTTTGGACTTTCACACACCAATAACAGTAGGTATAATGAAAAAGATTAAATTTTAAAAAATCAAAACAAACCGACCAGCTAGTCAACCTACCAAGCAACCAACCAATCGACCAATCATTCAACAAACCAAGGTCTGATTTCAGTGCATGAAGATCTAGACAATTCAAGCCGGAGTCTTAAATTGAACTTCAATTTCCCCAGTTTTTATTCATATCATTTTTTCTTTCAGGAATCCACATTATCAACGCTGCTGATATACCTAGAACTTTAAAGGAAATAAACCAGTCTTCAATCGCCACGAAGTTTCTTCCAAACCATATATTGCTGAAAGTGATCATGGTTTTATACTGGACACTGTTGTATTACACTCTTTGAAACATTATTGCATTCAAACCAAATATTGCTCAGACATAGATTGTACTTCTCGAAACAGTTTTTTGTCCAAACCAAAATATTGCTTACAATGGAGAACAATGGATTATACTCAGAGGGGGAGAAACACCAGGGTTCAAAGATGACATACGCTTATAATGTAAATCTGTATTGAGATGACATCGTCGCTGATTGGTCAAAAGTCGACAAACAAATGACGTCATCAATGGCGGTTTCAAAATTTTCGAATAATAGTATGTTCATTTCTGGTGTGTTAACCAATATCATAGCTTCTCATTTCACATCAAGATAAAGAAAGGTGTACGGAATATGCCTATATCAATTTAACCATCCCATCGAAGTGTAGTATTTGATAACTAGCCGATGAAAATTCGAGCGAACGAAGGTGGTCTGCAAGAGACGTAATTATGTCTGTCATCTTTAAACACTGGGGCTTTCCCTCCTCTTGATTATACTCTTTGAAATCCATGATTGCATTCAAATTACTGCTACATATTATGTAATAATTGTCTTGGGTTGTACTCCTCAAAAAATGATTTAAGTTTTTAAGATATCGTTTTTATGCAATTGTTTCTTTTTCAACTAAGCATTTTAACTGCTGGTTATTTGATAATGTTTGATTGCTATTGTCTATGCCTTTGTAAAAACCAGGTCAGTGAAATTGCTGCTAAATTGCCCTTAGTACAGTAAGATTTATGTCTATCCGTGAATTGCGCTTGGACATCGCACTTTGTCTTAATCACAATGCTTTTTTGCTTTGGTATAGTAAACATTAACCTTGAATTGATTGAATTTGAATCAATACTCGTATTGTAAGACATATCTTTATTTGTGCAGATTGGTCAAACGTTGCTTCATTTGTCCGTCGCGTAGATAACAAAGTAATTTAGGGATAGAGAATCCGAAGGGTGTGGGCCAGTTTTAATATGTTTATTGAGAGGAAGTTCAATGTTAAAACTTCAAGTCAAGATTTGTATATTTAGACATTGTTCATATGAACGATCATGTTCCAAATAAGACTGAAACGTACCCGTTGCTGCATGTCACAAGGCGCAAAAATATGATTGTATGTTCCTGCATACTACATTTTTATCATTTAAGCCAACTCTCTAGTTCTTCAAGTTTTTTCACTTTTTCGGATCATTATTATACAAATAGTGACTGCCATTGAGGGCAATAGTGTAAATTATTTCCCCGAGGGAATATCCTCTACAATGTACTATTCCCGAAGCCGCAGGCTCTCGGGCAATAGTTCAAATGTATATTCCCGCTGACGTCGAATTTGAGGGAATATAACTTTCCGAGGGAAATAGTAAATCTATTTCGGAACACGTGACTAGGTATTGACCAATCAGGATTAGTGTTACACATTGGGTATATAATAATCACGGATATCATTCATTAATGGGATGGGATGTTTAAAAATCTCATTTATATGTATTTATATCAAATCAACCTAAAATGATGGAATATGGTTTATGCATTAGCTCAATCGTAAATAAGCATTTTGCATTCACAAACTAGAAGCAGTATATAGTCTACTAGTCTTTATTCCACAATCCATTTCAACGAACTGGATTTGTACAAATCGATCCTTGTGTGATTCAAGTTTGTTTGTCATCGCAAATGTATTACATTTTCTTCACGATTGACAGCTCTTACAGTTTCATTACACTTTTACAGCTCATAATTCACGGATGTCATCCATTGATGGGATGAGATGTTTTGATTTCTCATTTAGATTTACGAAAACCAAATGTTGATTAACCAAACATGACGTTCATTTGCATAATTGTAGCTCTGCTTCCTGCATACATATTATAAACAGTCTTACTCTCCATATTTTCACGAATTGGATGTGTGCGGAACGATGCCGTAATTGGTCAATGGAAAAGTCTCCAAGCCCCAAAATGGCATCATATAATTCTGGGGAAGATTTGGCAATAGAGACTACACCAGGACTCTGATAATAATTCTGCAATGTAGATTGAGAATAAAAACCCTGGCACTAAAATGAACACGTGCGCTAAGATTGAAGAACAGATCAAAGTTAGTGTCATTGGATATGCTGAGGAACACGTGTTGAACGAAAGTCATGAGGCAGAGACGTCGGGTGATACAAAACGGGATACTAATTTGGAAGTAGATTGCGTATCACATGATGAACTCGAATTGAGCATTGAGAAAACCAACGATGGTGATGACAATTATGGTCACATTAACAAAGAGACTAGCGAGCAATGTTTGAACATTGATTGTGATGCGAGAGATGAACCACAAGTAAGACAAGAAAATAAGAGCTGTAATATTTCTAAGAGAAAGGCCATGTGTAGTATAGAAGACGATCATGATGATCCTATTGTTGATGAAGCCCAAACAGCAAAGGAAAATGAGAATTACGATGTTTGCAAGGGAACTACCTCTTATAAAACAGACACAGAAGATGATAACGAAGATGCAATTATCAACGAAGCCTCGTCAGACAAAAACAATGATCATAACACGAATGATGACATTGAAGATCCGTTTGATTCTTGGATATGGAAATATAACCAATTAAAAGAAAGGCTATCATACATGGCAAGTATCACTTCAATTCAAGGTTGCATAAATATCCGGAATTCTCAAACAATGTTTGGACGAATCATATGGTTCTCGATCGCACTAGCCTTGGGTTTCACAACTGTTATAAAGGTTTCAAACATAGTAGTACAGTACCTAAGCTACCCTAGTGCAGATGCCCTATACAGCCGTGAAGAAGATGTTACATTCCCATCTATTACAATATGTGGTGCAAGACCAATTGTTTTTTCTGAAAACTTTCATCGCTCATGCATGAACTCAAACTGTATGCCCAAAACAATGGATGTTCAAGATGGTAGACTCAATCAAGGTATACTTCTCCTCATGAATGAATCTGGTTATGAATCTCAAACAGAAACGTTGGACTTTTTAAGAAAAAGACTTCTGAGTCCCGAAAGATATGTTGAAAATGTTGACGACTTTCCGTACAGTCGTTTAAGATATCTTAAGAAGAATGACCTGATTCTAGCTTGCACGTTTCAAGGAAAAGAATGTCCCGACGCGCTTAAGTTCAAAGAAGTGAAATTTGGGAGGTATGGCAACTGTGTTACCATTGATTCAAACAATACGATGAAAGAAAGCGGACCAGATTCTGGTTTATCATTAATATTATTCTCGAATTCTTACTCTCCACTAGACGAGTTTCAGAAAGCAATGAATTTATTCATTTACTTAGTGTCAGGGGTGAGTGAATTCGACAGTACACATGCAACATCCAGTGATGGAATACGACTTGCAATCCATGCCCCCGGTACCATTGCAGAGCCTGAACATGATGGCATTGACTTATCGCCCGGAACATTCAATACCATTGGTCTGACTCAGGATGTACGTACTTTACTGGAACCACCATATGGAGATTGCACTAAGAAAATATTCAATGAAAAAACAACGTACAAGTACACCAAAGATTTATGCCTCGATAAATGTATGCAGGAGGAAATGGTAGCAAAATGTGGATGCATGACACCTAAAGCGCAAGCGTCATTGGGTAAAAATGGGTACGACGTCTCATATTGCGGAAGATACTACAATACGATCAAGCCAAAAGGGTACCCGCAATACTTGAAGAAACCAAATTGGCGCAGGAGGTTAAGATCTCAACTTCTACAATTCTTACGTCGATTGAAATGTGAAAGTGATGTGCTTAGATTATACTCTAGAGATTCTAGTAATATGTGTACATCTAAATGCAAAACAGAGTGTACTAAAATAGTGTATGATCCTCTGACGCATGCGACACCATGGCCCAATGAAAAGTACTACAAGCAACTGAACCAAAGGCCTTTCATTACATTCATGAAGAGCAAGGACAATGTTGCCAAATTACTCGAATATTGGTTCGATGTTAGAAGGAGCGTGCTCGATTCATACTGTGAGCTTCTACACGGTGATTTACGCAAAAATCTTTTAAAAAGAAGAGTAACTGGGCATGTGTTCAAACCACTTTTTGCTGATGTAAATTTCCCGTTTGTGACGTGTTCAGAAAATATCACTGCACACATCAATCGCTACAACATTATCAACAAGGTTATCGAGAAAAACTTTTTGAAAGTTAACATTTTCTTTCGCTCCCTTAATGTGAACAGGATTGCTGCAGAACCCAATTATCCATTGAACAAATTTCTATCAGAGTTTGGAGGTATCATAGGTATGTACCTGGGTATGTCAGCTGTTTCACTCGTCGAACTAGGATACATTATGGTAGCAATGGTTTTCATTCTTCTTTTCAAGTACAAACGGTAACGTAGGTAGGTTTTTCACCAATGATGTACGGCAAAGAGGAGATGGGACAGACTCTCCAATGTATGCCGTACGAAGCGCTTTCATTATGAGATATATATTATGTGATATACTTCTCATCTTGTGTAGTACACAACAGAGTGTCCGTTATTGTTGATGGGACACGTTGATAGGATATACTTCTCACTTGTGGCCTATAATGATAACAAGTGACATGGTATGAGGAATCAACTCTTATATACGTAAGCCGTATACAGGGATATCCATTGTTGACAAATAATATAATACGATGGACCTCTTAACGTATGCCGTGTACAGTGTATCATTTTTTATTCCCGTAGTCAGCTTTTTGTACTCCCCCCCCCCCAGTCCCCATCCAAAGTACCTTCCCTTGATAACAAATACGTTTTCCCACGCTAAGCCAACCCTCAATGGGCAGGGCAAATCATATTAGTGGGCTACAATATCCTTCATATTTTTGGGCCCACTCTAGGGGGCGGACCCAATGCCCCCCCCCCCCCCTGGATCAGCCAGTGAAGGGTGTGTTTAAAAAATGTCCGCGTCTGCACAAAGAAATCAATTTCACCAAAAGTTTAAAAATGACGCCCAATTTCTGAAAACCAAGGCCAGAATTTTATCTATATTACCCAGAGCAGGGTTTCCTTCTAAACGGTATGTCCACATTTTAGGAGATATCAGTAGCCCCCCGAGTCCCCCCCCCCCCTCCCACTGGCTACAGGCCTGAAATTTGTTGTCAAATGATATGATATGACGGACTCTTAACGTGTTCCGTATACACTGGTGCCATTGTTGAAAAATAGTATGATACGATGGACCTTCGTAACGCATGCCGTATACAGGATTGCCATTGTTGACAAATAAAAGGCATTGATTGACCTCTTAACGTGTGCCGTCTACATGCTAGCCATTGTTAACAAATTACATGATATGATGGACATCTTAACGTGTGCCATATACAAGGGTAGCCATTGTTGACAAATAACATGATATGATGGACGTCTTAACGTGTGCCATATACAAGGGTAGCCATTGTTGACAAATAACATGATATGATGGACCTCTCCACGTGTGCCATATACAAGGGTAGCCATTGTTGACAAATAACATGATATGATGGACCTTTCAACGTGTGCCATATACAAGGGTAGCCATTGTTGACAAATAACATGATATGATGGACCTCTCCACGTGTGCCATATACAAGGGTAGCCATTGTTGACAAATAACATGATATGATGGACCTCTCAATGTGTGCCGTATACAGGATTGCGATTGTTGACAAATAACATGATATGATGGACGTCTTAACGCGTGCCATATACAAGGGTAGCCATTGTTGACAAATAACATGATATGATGGACCTCTTAACGCGTGCCATATACAAGGGGAGCCATTGTTGACAAATAACATGATATGGTGGACCTCTCCACGTGTGTCGTATACAAGATTGCCATTGTTGACAGATGACAGGCACTGGTGGACCTTTTAACGTGTACTGTATACGAGGCTAGCCATCGGTGACAAATAACACGATAAGATGGACCTCTCATCGTGTGCAGTACACTGGATGGCCATCTTTGAAATATAACATAATAGGATAGAGTTCATTTCATTTAATGTTAAAATTAGTAACATACAAAATACAAAAAATACAACAAATCTTGAATATACGCCATTTTGTAAAGGTTGTTGAACTTGAACTCTGCTACATAAAATTCAACGTTAAAGGGATCCAACACCTTACAAAACTTCTTAACGGAGAGGAATAAGGGAAAATGCTTGCCGGATTCTGAATCTGTGTATTTTTTAATGGTTTTTCACCGTCTTAGAATTTCAATTTTTTTCCTTTGAAAAGATGAGATTTGCATTGTTTTCCAATTAGAAAAATGAGTAAACATGAATAGCTCGAAATCTAACGGTGAGATTTTGTTTTAAAAAATCATGGATATCAAGGCTAAATATAGCTATACAGTAAACATAAAAAAGCGATGCTTTGACTCTTCATATTCACACAAAAAATTAATTAGTAAATGAGGTTTGATATTTGTGAGAATAAGTTATACGAGGTGCAATGCTCTACAAACACCAGACTACAGGGTGGATTAGGATCAATGACACACATAAAAATTAATTTAAAAATATTTCATGATAATTATCTCAAACAAAAGCAGTTAGCGAAGGATACGTTTCATTACACTCAATAATAGTTATCACTTTTGACTATATATACATATCTCATGGGAATGTATTTCCATCTGCTCAAGATATCAAATTTTAGCTTCGAAAATCACAATCGTTGGATAATACATTTGTCTCAGAATGATAGGCCACCCTGTAGCAATGTAGCTTTCACTTGAAGTGTACCCTTGAGAATAATGAACTTACTTTCAAATTGGTCTTGCTTTTGTGGTGTATGTGGCTTTTTAGCAAATCTGCCACGCTCATTTCTATCCAGAACCATCTTGTTCAAATGTATCACTACTGTATATGCGCATGTATAGACAGATGACATAGATATACATATAAATTATATATTGCACCTGTATTTACTTACATGGGAATATTCCCTTTGGAAAAATGCAAATGCATGAACATATATTTTCATCTTATATATGACTTCAAGCTAACATATTATTTCATATTTATATTTTCATAGTTAGTTTAACATGAATAATAGATCCATGAGAACAATATTCTTTGTTTTTTTAAATTGATGGGTTTACTGTGAATTCAATAAATTACAATTTGCAAGGGGTAAGTATACTGTATGAGCTAGCTAGTGGCGTTGTGTTTTATGTTAGGCCAGGGTAATTAAATTAGTTGTTTCTCTTTCTTCTAATTTTCAAAATTGATACGGGAATGACGGGTTTATATTACCTTTTTTGTCTATCTAAAATTCTGATGAGGGACGGGATGATTTTTTTCTTTAAAATAACTGTAAAAACAAATAACTAATTTTGAAGGAAATAAACTGAGTTTATGTTGAATTTATATGTTGAATTGAGCCTACTTTACTGGTACATTTGATCATATATCAGTACCACGATATTGTCAATTATCCTGAAAGTGTTTCACACGCCATGGATGCGCGCGAGGTACGGTGTTTTTTCTCAGAAATGGCAGAAAAAAGGTGGAGGGGGGATTGGGCCACACGCGGGCAAGAATGAGAAACAACTAATTTAATTACCCTAACCTTAGTTCATCCAGTAGTGTTTTTATATGCAGCTTAATAGCATAAAATATGTTGAATGAAGCATATGGTGTGGATTAGTCGTGTGACACACAAACTGACCAATACATGAGGGTATTAGCTACTTTTCACATAAACCAAAGGAGGACAGTGCTTTTATTTCAACTGGGAGCTTACCTCCACACGACTGATCATGTGACCATGGTGGTGGTCCCCTTTAAGGTACAGATTAACAGAACGAGAAGCTTTGGCCTAGCAGCAATGGGGCAATCCCACTTGCCCCATCGAGTCCCATTGACTCCATAACTCCATTCATAACACTACAGGGCAGGGGGAGGGCGTTTCATGGCGTTTCGAAAGTTGAAGAGGTACAATACAAGGTAAGGTACCATATTGTAGGTGATTCGAAATTCTCGAGGAGGGTTATCAAAATCTCAAGAAAGCAGGTCAAAGTAAGATAGGGGTGAGCTTTTTCGCGTATTTTTTACTTTTTTCAGTCAAAACAACATATTATTATTTTAAGCCAGAAAGGGGTACTAAATGTGATAGATGTAGTACCTACCTTTTTAGGTTAAAAAACCGTGGGTAAATACCTTTCTTAGATTTAGAGATAGGTAATTTGGTCGAACATTTGACGAAATGATATATCGAAAAAATGGGGGGATGGGAAACAAGTCGCAGCCCAAGACCTAAGATACTGAATAGATAATATTTAAAAGAATAATCTCATAGGACATACCACCTGGCTATAATATAGTGTAGAAATTTTGGATATTGGTTGAGTATTATATTAGCTAGCTGAGAACATTTGTTTTTAGTGCATCTCGGCTAGCGAGAACGTAATCTCGCGTGTTGAAAATAAGTGTATTTGAGCCAAAAGTTGCAGCATTGACATGTTTTTATGGTTTATTTTGCTTCTAATTATAGATGCCATATGTTTCTACTGGTACACAATCAAAATATTACATTGAATCACATGTTTGGCTCTATATTTACTGATTTTGACAGAATTTTTTCTCAAAAACTAGAACAATTTACTCTTACCCGCTTGTTTGTTACATACTTCAAATAATTGTGTAATATTTTGATGCATATATATTCTCAAGTTTGTAAATTGTATAAATATCAAGATGGGAAAATGACAAAAAATAGCCACGAAACGGACAAATCTTAGGGTAGGGGAGACAAAAAAATCATTTCTACAAAACAAGGTATGGTTATCAGGCATATGACAAACATGATCAGGACCAGCTCCCAGAAGAAAATCCATGGATATGATCACCAGTTTTTTGAAAAAACAACTTTACTCAAATTATTTGGATCGAAACGCGAGTCGCGGACCACGTCATAATATTGAAAAATTCGTATCTCAGAAAAGTGGTGGTATTTCGAATAAGGACAAACCTATCGTGAGATTGTAGGAACTTAATTAAAGAATCTAAACCGCGATTGATTTAATTATGCTGGGAACAGAACGCTCCGCGCGATGATATATCAAAATTGGAGTTCAATTCATGGAAGTGGCTCATCCTTTGTGGGACTATTTTGCCTTTATGTTGAATACAGTATATAAACATTTTTCTAATGTGTTTCTTCCGTGTGGATATTTACTGGATTTTCGGACTGTTGTGGAGGGGAATGTGTTTTTTATTCGAGAGCATTGTTTGTGTTACTTTTGTTTCCTTGTGTCCCGCTGTATTCTTAAACAATGACACAAATGACACGACGGAAGTTTTTTAGGAAGTCGTTGGCGACTAGCCTTGCCCAAGTCGGTATTTTTTAACTTATCTG